TATGCACTAAAAGATGGTCAAATAAAGCAGAAGCCCTTCGACTAAGACTAAACGGTATATCTGAAGTACAGCAGTCGAGAATACAAGCAAACATGCGAGTCCCAGAAAGTGATTGGGAAGACGATGCAATCGTTGGGACAAGACCTTTATTCACCTGATGTTTCGAAGCTCGTCGCGGACTCTCTCTGCATGTATTACCCGTTTCCACTATTGTTTCTGATGGAGAATCCGCGACGGACTTTGAAACGTCAGGCGAATCAAAGTCTTGCCCCAGTGATCGCATGTACTTTTCCTCAATTATAAAGTCCTCAACATCCAGGTAACAGAACGGACTAAGCTCGGGAAATCAAAGCAACATTAAAATACTTGCATTGGCCTAAAGATGAGCAAACAGGCCACAGTTCAAAATCATGAAGGAGCTAGCCTTATCCTTCCTAAAGCTCAGGAAGTTAGATGCCTAAATGAGAGGCATAATTACAAAAGTCCATCAGGGGTTTACAAGACTGTATCGAAAATTACAGCGGAAGGCATTGCAAACTTGTGATGACTTTGAAGCAGATGAAGACTATTAACAGCTCGTGAGAGCATAAGCATAAACATTTACGGGAAACGCAGGTCTCTGATATTGTTTGAAGTCAAAAACCCTAACAACTGACCCAAGAGCTCGCTGTTCTGTCGGCTGCGATCGGGTACGGTGACAAGGGCAGAGATGCAATTGCTGATGACAGCTTATAAGCCACAAATGGTTACTCCAGTCTGCCTGGACTTTGTCGGTAACGGTTTTCCGTTTGTAATATTAATCATTGAATGGCTACCAGTGTAGCTCGAGATTAAGCCCCAATACATAAGGGAACAAAGGTGTTCCACAAAGCGATTGACGAACGCCCCACTACCCCTGTTAATATGCCCAATCACAACCAAAAGGACAACCAACACATCACCCAATTATTGGAATCTTTGACTTTAAACCAACAGGTCGAGGGTTCGAGCCTCAGAGGTTGTACCACCTGGCGTTGGGTATGGCCAAAGGCCACAAAGGCCGTTTCAGTCTGTCCGAAGGGCGCACGGAGACGAAATTGAATTTTTAAGTAAAACCAGAAAACAATTCTCAACGAAATCGGTTGTCGCACCCAAAAAATAAAGATGAGATCATGACCGGGAGAACAGATTGTATCTGCTCAATATCGTGCAGAAAGCAAAAAATATACCCAGCCGAATGATCAAGTGCAGTTCAAATATCATACCATCTCCTTTTCGATACACATTGCCAAGCGCAAGAAAACGAAGTGGTTGGTTCAACGGTTTCTCTAAACGACAACCAAGCAGAGAACCTGAAATGCATAAAAACGACGATACATTAGAGCAAGTGTGGGTTGCATAATCTCACTGCTCGCAGTTTTTGGTTTGGAGTACATGAAGGAAGGAAGATAATGTTCACTAAGCCGGCACGACAGACTACAATGTGGTTGCCTGTTGAACAAACATAAGATTTCTAAGCGTCTGGATAAACGGTACCAAGACACCGGTAAACCCCTGTCTCCGCTTCCAATGAACATCAAGAAACGCCAGCCGAGGCCTTTTTCGCGCTGCTTTTGAACGAAAAGCTGCTGCAGGGCTCCGTGTGGTCACGGGTAAACACGGAGTGTGAAGAAACCACCCGTCTCTTCTAAAAGATGAACGTCCTGGAAAGATTATCACCGTTGACCGCACTCGGTAATGGGGCTGGTGCCACCGACGAAACCCATCATTGTTGCGAGGGCACATTAAAACCATCCGCGTGACGTTGTTCAGGCCTGCGTGGCATCTGTTTCACCTTCTCCTCACGCATTCACCAGGAGTAAAGACAAAGGGAACGCGACGTGAGATGGGCGTAACCGCAATAACTAACAAAGCCAAACAGTCTGCCTACGCGTGCGCCGCAGAAGCTGGCTCTGGAAAGTGGTCTTAAGTGGGGAGGGGCAGATATTAGTAGTTGGCATCAACGGGAATTGCCGTACTG